CATCTGCCATACCCCTACCATAGAGAAAGATGAGATGTATGTGGGGAATGCTCGAGTCCGCTGCAAAGATGTAATTTTTGTGGCTTTGTTTACTTTGGCCGATTGGCAAGGCCTTGCCGATGTTTTGGCCGAAGTTTTCGTCGTTTTTTTACTTGCTTTGGCACCGCCATGTTTGCCATGTCGAAACAAAGGCAGTGACACGCAAACTTCGCAGACCCATCACAACGGGTGACGTCGGTAAGAAAGATTTCGGATGCTGTCATCAACATATTTCTTTCGACATCCAGTGACAAGCAGCAGTTTGACAAGGTTGGTTCAACTCAGCAAGCTTTTTGGTGCTAAGTTCAGATTATGACCGGTATGTAAGATTTACAAAATCGTTCGGCACCAAGTTTTGCTTCAGGTTAGATTCCAAAAAGTTGAATCAGGCAAGATTCAGGTTCGGCGCAGGTTGGATCTCCACATGTTTTAAGTTTCCGATTCTTCCGGAAGGGCAGTCGCAACCGTGTCATAAGCACGTGCGAGCTGAACCGCCATGCTCATGTATGCTTGATGTTCCAACAACTTACTCCACAATGCACTTGCCAATTGTCTGGCGGGGGGGTTGCAGCGTTGTCTCTGCAGCGTGCTTGCATCAAGCCGTGGAACTTTATCCGTGTTTACCGTATGCGATGGCCTGCCATCTTGGATGCTTGATCGTGGCTGCACTAGCGGCTTTTTCGACAGCTTCATCCGCCGAGGACCGTATGACGATCTGACGTCGAACTCACAATGATCTGCCGATTTGTTTTCGACGCATTTCGGTGAGGAGGAAACATGCCAAAGCGCCAAGCTGGAAACCTACAAGCGCAGCCTGCTGCAGCGCCAGCAAATCGCCGGCCAGGTGCAAATTAATTGTCTGCATCTCCAAACTGGAGCCTTCGTTGAATCCAACCAAGACGGATATGGCATGTTCACAGGTTGCGACGGGTGATTCTGCAATGGTGACGGAAGCTATGACCGAGCTGGTCGACGTGACGAAACAATTGAAAGGGGAGGCCGCTGAACGTGTTCGGGCTGTAATCCGCATGTAGTACTGCTGCCTGTCCTTGATTTCTGTTGCAGGTCGAACGACTTCAGGAAGGTGTCCTGCTTCGTTTGTTTTTTTTTCATACTTTTGGGACTCTGAACTCAGCTCTGACCGTTGGAAGCTTGCGTGGGGCTGGCATCGGTCTGCCAAGGCTTGCAGCGAGAGCACAACGAAGTCCTGCAACTTGCTGGCTGAATACAGCAAGAGCTTTCCATACAATCATTTTTGTCATTAGTGATTACAATATCTTGTTTGTCACACACAACTGGCATCAAATATGTTTGAGCGGTTGAAGAGTTTGTGGATTTACCTTGGCATGGAAAACATGTACTTTATTGGGTCTTGAATAAGCTTGCCTGTGTTGCCTGAGTTGGGTGCTTTGCTTTTTGGTTTGCGATCATGTGGCTAAGGACATTGCGTGAGATGCTCTCGTCGACTGGTCAGTCTGCAAAGCCAGAGCCAGCAAGTGCAGCCAAAAGCGCAGATTTTTGGCTAGATTGGAACGAGGTTGTCGGGTAAGGTGAACATGCATGGGTTCGCCTTCCAGTCATGGCTGCCTCCATACCTGTGCGAAAGGACAGGGGTGCTTTCGAGCTTTGCAAAGCCGAGAACGTGCTGGGGCAGGTGCTTCGTCCGAGTTAGCAGAACAACTAGGACTTCTGGAGCAGTTCGCTCAAGCTTGAAGCCAACCTTCCTGTGCCAGGTAGCTGTCCAGGCCAACACGTCCCTCCACGATGCCAGGGCAAGCTGCAGTGCGACGACAGAGGCGCGACAACTTGTGCAGACATTGTGCAACCTCCAGACCTCTCAGGCTGGTGTTGAAGCCTCTTGAAATCTGCAGTCCGTGGCAGGTTGCTTTGTTTTCGCCGAAGCTTTCCTCGCCGTTTTTCGAGACAGAGTGCTGCCCTGTCGACAAGGAAGCCGACATGCAACGTCTTCCGAAGTGGCGCAGTGTCTGCATGTAGAGTTGAACGGGCAACACGCGGGAGCAGGAGCACTGTGCTGGTTGTGCCAAGCAAAACTCCGGGAAGACAGCCTGCGAAGTCTGCAGCGGCGGGTTTACCAAGAGTTCCGTGGCGAGCATACGATGTCCTTGAGGGGAAAGTAGTGACAGTCGTGTCGTTTGAGGACTGCTGGCCATGTCAACTGGTTGTTCTGAGGCTCCGGCAAATGTGTGGCATGTGTGGATCTTCCTTCTTGGGTGAACAAGGCAGGGTTGACATCATGTCTTTCAGGGCCACTTTGGATGTGCACACTGCTGTCGCACGGACGTGTCCGAGATCCTTGGTTCCACAAAGGCGACTGCGGGTGGACGAAAGCATCCTCTTGCCTCTGCAAGGAACCTAAGCACCTGCAACATGCTCTGGGGCCGAGAACGTATTTGCAGGCCGGGCAGAACTGCCGCTCTGCGAGCTGCTCTTCTGAGAAGTTCCAAGGCATCTTGGCCCGGTTTTGGGACTTGACCAGTGCGGTAAGCTCAGAGGCCCGCTCCCAAGGCTTCTCTCCGAACGAAGCCTGCTGCAAGTGTGGAGGAGGGCAGAAGGCACATCCTGCTTGCATGCTCAGCATGGTGTCTGAGTTCAACATCACCATTGCGGATTCATCGCATTGGTTTTCGTACTCATCATCAACATCATCACACAATGAGCAAGGTATGAGCGCGACCACAACTCGTGACATGTGACCTCTGACTCAAGGCTTCGTCAGCCGACACGTACCGAAAGTTCGATAGTCACGATTCACGAACAGCCTGTATCATGAACCCTTTCTGACTACCGTGAATGTTTCATCCCACGCATGCTCCTGGTTTGAGGATACATCTCATCTCGTGTGACCTTCGTGGCTACACGTTGGGATCGTGAGACGGATGAGGGCGATGATGAGGGCAACCTGGTGGTGATGATGCCCATCGGCATCACTTTCATCATTCTCATTCTTCTCATCATTATCATCATTATCAACATAATCATCCTACTGAACATGGTCTTCATAATCATCATCATCACCATCATCATCATCATCATCCAGCATTGTCCTGCCCATTGTCGTGATCTTGACAAACCGGCAACGCTCTGAGTGTCACGTGGAAGGCAGCGACGAAGTTTGCCTACTACGTTGGCCCCATGGCTGTCGGGGCTACATCAGTGGTTGGTCATCCAGTGCCACACACAGCGAGCTTCAAGGCTGCAATGTAGCCCATGCAGTTTAGAGTTTAGACACGTGCCACGCTTGGACTGGCTGCCGCGATCGATGGTACGAGTTGTTTCGATACATTTTCGCAACAGCTGGATCGAGGGAGTCTTGAATGTCGCAGGAGTGCTAGGGAGGCGATGCAGCTGTGATGATGTTGTGCATTTCTTGGAGTGCAGCGGTCACGATGAGGCCACTATTCTGTGGACAAGGTGCGGGGGACAACTGGGCACAACGGGGTGTGAGGTCTCCGGGAAAGAGTGGCCTACTGATCCTCAGCCTCTGGAAAAAGGATGCCTTTGCCAAGTGTGACACGTGTGAGATGTACCTAGTTCTCTATTTGTGGCCTTTGGCAACCATCTCGGACTGCAGGAGTCGTCAGTCCCAAACCCAAACCCCCAAAGAGTGCATGTCACCGTGATGTGTGAGCCGGGGAGGGCCGGGGAGGACTGCGAGCTGGCGAAGTATGGCTTGTCAATCCATCCCACCACGGGCGAGCCGCTGCAGCATAGCAGACCTGCCAGGGCTCACGTGTTCAAGAACATTCAGAGCATAGCAAGAGATTGGGATCTCAAATTTGAAATACTTAGAAATGCGGGTAGTCCCCAGTCACGCACTGAACGTGAAGCGTGCACTGGAGACTGCAGAGTTTGTCACTGAGCAGGGCGCTGTGTCAGCGATGGGAGCGTTGAGAAGGCATTGCATTGCCAAGGCCTTGCAGTTGGACGGCTGTAGCGCTGTCGGGTGTGGTGCCAAAACTGTGGCGCCTTGGAGTGAAGGCACCTGCATGGGTTACGAGACTGTACTATTCAGGTTACAAGCCTAGCTTAGTTGGAAATCAGAGCAGCATCTAGGCTCCAAGAAGTTATGGATCTGATGCAACGTTAGCGGTCAACGTGCCCCCAGTTCTGTTCTTTTAACGATGTAACGATGTCCTTCAGCTCATGCCAAGGAAGTGAAGTGCACTGTAACTGCCGAGAAGGCCGGTACAGCCACTCAATGTTTTCTTTTTTGGTTCCTGAGCGCTGCAGCGAAGAGTTCTGTCATTGATCATGGCGAAGGCTAAGTCTTGGGAAGATGTGGGGGTTCACCAGTGTTCGAGGACGGGCTGATGGCAGTAGCCCCCATCGAGGTCCTGGCTGGAGATGCCTCTTGTCAATTTAAACTCCTCCCTTCGGTTCTTTCGAGACCAAACAAACGAATTGTCTCCTGTTCTGCCTAGATCGGCTATGGCAGTGGCCCTGTGGTTCTTCACGGCTCCGCAACGAGCCTGGCGCCAGTTCTGTGACTCGGCGGGGAATCTGCGAATTTCAGGAATTCCAATGGCCGCAGAATCCAGCTCCTCATGGGTGGAGATGTTTTCAGCTAGGCATATGGGGGAACGGAGGTCAGGGGCAATGTTGCACTCAAGGATGTCCATTGGTGTGTCATTGTTGTGCATCGTGTAGCATTATGCAAACCTCATGCATGTTCAGAACAGCTATGAGGTCATAGGAGCATGACGCAGCGAGACCAAAGCCCGTTCACAGATGCGAGAAAACGCGATGTATCTTGAAGACCCCTTCCGCCGCCAGGAGTCCCACTTCCGGCTCGGGCACCTTCTCCCAGTTTTCTTGTGTTCCCTCAGCGAGTAGCTTGGATGTGAGATCTGCAGAGCATCAGTTTGAGGTGATTCCAGTTTCATCCGGATCAGACCTTTGTCTTGGTCACCCAAGGCTGGCTGAACCTCGACTCCAGCACAGGGAGGCTATCTTTGAAACCCGGCACTGCAGTCGACGGTTGGGAGCTTGGTGCGCCATAGACATTTCTGTGCCAATGTTTCTGTAGGTGGCAGATTTTCCAGATTGTCTCGCGTCCATGGACATACATGCCAAGGCGGTGTGACAGACTCCAAGGGGGCGAAGCTGGGACAAGGTGGCCAACGCTTCCCTGCTGGAGTCTGCACGGAGCGGTCCGGTGAAGAAAGCCGTTCTTTGCAGTTAGTGCTTGGGTCGACAGAGCCATGTGCACTTACTTAGATGCATATCCGTGCATATATATATATATATATGATTATATATATATATATATATATGCACACCATGTGCGCCCATAAACAGATAAGCAGATGAGTATACATACACATACGTATACATATATATATATATATATGTACATACATACATACATGCGTACATATATGTACACATGTACAAGTGTGTCAGGTGGAGTCTGCACAGTGCAGAAGGGAACAGCTCCTTGGCACACTTTTGCGGGAGCTTTGCATTGCAATCCTGAACTAGTTTATCGTCGAGGCGTTCAAGACCGTCCGATGGGGTTGGTAGATTTGTTTGCCATTTTGGCATGTACAGATGCAGACATCCAATGCAGCGTGAAGGAAAATAACACGAAGAACTCGATGGAGAGGGCTACGGCTGAGGAAGTGAGGGCTCTGCGGAATGGATCTGCTTGGGAGGTTCTTCTTCAAGGGTCCTTTGCTCTCAGACATGGCTTGACCCCACACCTTACAATACATCCTATACTCTGAAGCGCTTGACGCACCCTTGAGGCGAAGGGTTCGGTGGTGGTCATTGCGCCGGATGCGTGGACGTCGATGAGCTACAGAGATTTGGACGCAAGGGTCGTGGGATCTGGCACGGGAGGCAGCAGGCAAGGCAGAGTGTGCACATGATGTAGGATAGGAAGGCGAACGACTTCCCAAGAAATATAGGGCATCATGCCTCAGGCATGAGGCAAAAGTCCCTGAAGTTGTAGATGGTCAGAAAGAGCAGAGGGGAGGTCAAAAGAGTAACTCCTATCTACATTGATGTGGTAGATGTTCTTGCACATGTGATATGCTAGAGCATGTTGTCCCGCACGTCGCAAGTTTGTCGAACTCTAGCTTCCAAGGCTACAGCACTTCCGTCCTTTATGCCACGGTTGGAGAGAGATCGCCGATCCTGTCGCCCACTGGTAGCAGCGGCCCGGGCCACAGCGGTGGATGCAACGTCTGAAGATGAACATTCGCTAAGCTAGGCAGAGCCCTGTTCCATTGAAGCCATCTAAGCCCACGCATCGTGCGAATACGTGTGAATACGCGATTCACAGAAGCCCAATCCCCAGACCTTGAAAGCACCGACTTGGAATGCGGCCGGGATGATTTCCGAAACCGAAAGCTTGCCATGTCCTCCAGATACTGTGCCTGGCACGCTAAGTGAAGCGTGAGCGATGTTAGTCCGTGGTGTTTCAATGTTGAATAACCGGTGCGGTGCTGAAAGTGGTCGCTCTACTATTAGCATCTGCCAACTCAACTCATCAAGCCGAAGGCTCAAAGCCGAGGCCTGTTGCCCACCCGGTTCTCCGCCGACTGCTCGGGCTCGAACTTCGTCTTTGACGTGCTGAGCGGCATCGCGACATGGGACGGCTACCAGACCCTGGGCAGAGAAAGGTTTCATTGTAGTTGATCATGGGCCAGGCGTGGACATCATTCGAGCAAAAAGGCATGACAAGTTTGTTTTCACCAGTGCTGAGCACGGTTTTTTGTGTCTAGTTTGCTTCTGTGGTAATAGTGATGATAATGTTCATAGTCTACGAAAGTAAGTTAGGCAATTCTATGCTTGCTGCCATCAACAGTCTGTTTGACAAGTTCGATTAGCTGTGCCCACAATGGAGAGAGGAGCAGATGTATGTCGCAGATGTGACTGTGAACGGTGAGAGTCACAGTAGCAAGAGGAGAATTCCTTATTAATGTTTTCGCCGTAGAGTCTGTCAACATGTTAACTATTGGTGTTACTATTGTTCTTATGGGTACGGCTAACTACAGGTAACATTGCAGTGGTTATGGCGGCGGTGAGCCTGTGCTACCAATATGGTGACGATGATGAGCCGCGGTTTCTTTCCGTCGTTCGTACGTCCCGTAACAATTCGTGCCTGGTCTTTCCCGTATGCTTAGAGTGACCATCAGTTACGGGTGAGCCGGAAATTGTGATCTAAGAAGAGACTAGCGGCAAGCGGCTAGCGGCTAGAGCAGCTGCGTCCGTAGCCCTTGCAGCAACAGATAAGCCGGACTGTTTCTTCGTTCGGATTCAAGCTGCCGCGCACACCATGATTGGCAAGTTGTACCGTGAATATTGTTGCTGTCGCCATTCTTACTCATGTGTTTTCTGGTTCTGATGCATGTGATTCACACTCTCCCACACTGCGCTGGCAGAGGTCGTACTATTCGTGCTAATGTCGGCATATGTATTACAGCTGTCCAGCAGTGGCAGGCAGTGGCCGTACTGCCCCTTTGTAGGTCTCTGCAGTCTCCAAGGATCTTCTCGCTGGATATCTTCACCGGAGACCTGCAGCTGAATCCTGAGGAGACGGCTGCAAGGTGAAGGTCGCACATTCCAAGCTGTGCCAGGGCCCGTAGAGTCCTTGACGTGCTGTCAGGAGTCCCTGACGAAGTCCTTGGACTCTTCGTCCGCCCCTGGGCTCAATGCACTGCAAGGGAATCGTTGCGAGGTTGCGAGCTGTGTTTCTCAACCTGAGCCCTAACCGGCCCTCGTGGAAGGCCACCTCAGTGCGCCGAACAATTTCAACGTCATGCACAATTTTCGGGCATTACGAGCAGCTGGGCCTACCAGAACGGGCACTCCTGCCCCGTTTCTTTCCTTTTTTCAGATTTTCAGACTCCATGCTGTCTCCTTGCCGTGCCACATTTTCGAGTAGTTGGGCACACGGCCGATGGAAGTCGCTTTTAGGTGGGCTCCGGCCAGTCCGGGTCCCGTGGTGACACACCGGGTCTCCATGGAGTTCCGGGACCGACGGTGTCGTTACAGCTGTTCGAGTGGGATCATGCCAAAGAAGTTGCGATTGCGAAAAAAAGCCACTTTCGTTAACAGCAAAGCAGTCATAAGCCTCGTCCTCTCTCTGCCGTTCGGGGGCATCCACGTTCGGTCATCTGCACTTGTGACGTTGGACCAGGACCACACATGCTGGGCTTCCAGGACGCTGGACTTCGCCCGTCGCGCAGACAAGGCTCTATGCTGCTGCAAGGTGTCCAAGTCTTAGACCGATTGCAGCTTTCATGAGCAGGCGCTGCACCTGCATACTGGAAAGGTGAAGTAGCCATGCAGCCAAAAGGCTAGGATTCCCTCGAAGACTCGACGTGCCATTCCTTGTGCCGAATCGGCAGGGCGCCAAGTCGTCCACCGACTGTCGAACGCAATGTCGCAGTGCAGCTCGGCCTGCTCCCTCGGAGCTTGTCAGACACTTTCGTCAAGGGATTCATAAAGGGCTTGGTCATGCCAAAGTCCTGATGCTTCAACCGTCTTCCGACGAACTAACACTAAGCTTTGTTTCAGTCCGTCGTGTGAGCACAGAGACATTGGTGGATTTGGGCGAGGGGTGTCCGAGTATCATTTCGCCCAGCCGCAGAAGTATGCTATGCCCACAGGAGATCTACTGCAGCTACTATCAGTCGGCAAATGGAAGATGCTACTTCTACAGTGGCCTGGTTGGCAGTTGGACACTCCTTGTGCAGTCTTCCTCTTTCGTTTGACGAATCGGCCGTACTTCTTATTCCAGGTGCACTGTGCACGGATTCCGGGGACTTTGGCTGCTCCTACAAAAATGCAGCAGTCCTAGACGGAAGGCTGTTGGGCAACTGCTAGAGAACAGGAGGAGCCGAGCCCATTGCCGCAAGCCTTCTCCACAGTCACAGCAGTGGCTCGGTTGGAGAGACCTTGAGCTCTGAGCAAGCTCTCTTGGTGAACGAGGTGCCCGTCATTGAGCGGTACCCCGGCTGTGGCGAGCGACACGGCTGCTTGCAGCTGGAGCTCCTTGGTTGCGAGCACCGTTGAGCCAGACTGAGTCGAAAGCTGCGTGGCGGCCTGAGGTTGCCAGGACGTCACTACATCTCGGGATTATACTGCCCGGGCGGTGATCCTTAGTTGATGAATGTCGATGAAATAGGAGTTGTGGTTTATGATTGCCCTGGGTGTGACGTGAGGTTTGCGCACTCCCACTGACACACATTCCCGTGACGAGCCGATGCCAAGGAGAATGCCGGAAGTGCTGCGCAAGGGCCCGTGCCAGACTCAGCGAGAGCAGGGGCGTAGCACAGCCATGACTTATAGATAGACCGATCAGCGTGCCAGTATCATGCCTTGACGTGATAAAGCCCTCGAGGTGTTCTTCAAGAAAGGCCTTACAAAGGAGGTGCGCTCACGGCTTGTTCAATCTGGTCTGGGGTTGCCATACCGTTGGAAAGGTAGTGGCTTAGAGGCCGGGAGGTCCGAACTCAGGCATATTTGGATCAAGCTCGCGCAGACATGCGAGAACGAACATCCAATCTCAAGTTTGTAGGGCCTTGCATCAGGAGAGCTTTTGGCTGATGCGATACGACACGTCACGTGGTGGATGTTCCAGCGGCGACTGGGTGATCTACGGGCCAAAACCGCTCGAGGTGCCGGGCTAGGAGGTCATCGGATGTCGGTAGCAAGACAGATGGCCTTCGGAATGGCTTGACGGCGCTGCATGAATTGACATCGGCTTCTTTCACCCTTCACGAGAAGGCCATAATCCTCAGAAAATCATGCCCTGACCTGACCTGTAGCACTGGAGGATTATGAGAACTCGACCATGGCCTACGTGGAGCTCCACGGGGATGCGGTGGCCTGTGTCAAGGGCAACAGCAACGACCTGGTGTCAGACCCTTGCCGAGCCATAGATTTCTTAGGGTTTAGGGTTTAGGCTGGTAAGTCACAGAGGAGTGTCTTAGATGCTTTCGCGTGTTGAGGACGTCTTCACTCAGACAAAAGTCGACTTGACAGTGTGCAGCTCAGTAAGCTTCGAGTTTGAGCTGTTGTGCATCACTTCGGGATTCTCCTAGTGTCTTGCCAGTGTGAGGTCGGGATACTGAGTGTCTCCGGAGCCAGTGCCACGGTGTCGGCTCCGGGATGTGTGGCGTGCCCCTGCGGCACTCCTTCATAGAATGAAGGGCTCGGCTGGGGCCGAGGCGAATTTGTCACATCCGCGAGCTCAGGCCCAATGTCACTGCGGTGGATAGCGGGGGAGAACAACCTGTGGAAGTTTTGGTGCTTCAGCTGCAAAAGAAACAGCCTTGGCCCTGAGACTTTGCATCTCAGCACGAGCTTTCTCGCATGTCTCCGCACGAGGTGCTGGATGATCCCTCGACCAACACTGCCGACGATCACTGGCTTCACCCCTGCGAGTGTGTCGCGGGGCTTCAACCTCCTACATGTCGTGTTGCCTCTTGTGACACCGACATGTCCTGATCTCTTGGACGCGGACTTATGAAGTCTGCTTTTTGCCGGGTCTGTGGACAAGTTCAGGTACCTGCCAAGTGGGGATCTCTGCCTCCAGCCTCTGGTCGCCGCCTGTGGCTGTTTTCCGTCATGATACAACTGTGTTGGCTGAGCTGGGGCCCGTGCGCTGTTTTCAGGTCAGAGTGTCTCCGATATTCCAGCCGGCAGTAACAACGAGTTCATGCCGTCCCCGTCACTGATTGCTGGGGACTTAGAATTGACAGTTCTTGCCGCATCCAATTTATATGTGGGTTGTAGGTTCACATCCTTTTTTGTCCGGGCAGAATCGACGCAGGTGGATGGACAGTTCGTGTGCGCGCAAGAGCCGCTTGGCTGGGACCAGCTGGACTGACTAAGCAAGCCCACGACACAGTGTGACCAAGCATGGATTCACACACCCAAAGAACCAACCTAAAACAACAGCGCACCAAGCACACGGAATCGCAGGCAAGACACTGCGGCCTGTTGAACTCGGCGGGACTTGCAAATAACGCACTGGGCTTGATGCAACCATGAACCAACACTTGAACGGCAGTTCAGAATCTACCTTCTTTGTGGGAGGATGAGCTTTGCTGAGCTTCAGGACAGGAAATTGGGCTACCTTAGGTTGGATTCGTTGGAGGTTGAGTCTGGTTAGGCTGAATGAGGCTCGATTAGGTTAGTATGGGTCATTCCGTTTGTCAGACGAGGTTGGGCCGTGGGGCAGGTACAGTGGTGATAGCAGCGTCGACTTCCTTAGGTGTGGCATGCCTCCCACATGCCTCAGGGACGGTGGGGTTAGGTTTCATTATTTTGGTGCGCAGATCTTGCCGACGGTGCTGGAATGGACTTGGTCAGGCCTAGTTCTTGTCTTTTGGTCCGGTATTTCTGCAGTTAGGGTGCGACAAGCTTCGATTTTGGTTCGTGAATGTTTCCCAACTTGGCTCGGATGGCTTTCTTCGCAGGGAGGAGTCGGAAGCTGGGATTGAGAGAGATTGAGGTATCTGACCGCTGTTATCGTCGAGAGCGAAACCGATGGTCTGGATGATGCCAACTGCAAGACGCGCTGCGTGGCCCAGGAGTGCCCGTACTACTGGGAAGGCCACTCCTGCAAGCTACCCAGTAGTGTAGGCTTTGGAAACCTTATTGCGACCTCTACGTTCTGGGAGAGGGAAGAATCCGCGGGTGGCTTGTGTTTGCATGCGTGTTGATGGAAGCTCAGCAATCTTATGCGAGCAACACCAATGACAGGCCGACCTGCAGGAAGGAAGGACTCCTGAATTCTGAAGACAGCAGCATCAAATCTGGAAGTGGCAGCAACATGGCTCGCAAGTGTGACTCTCGAGCTCGGAGCTGCTTGGCAGGCGAGGTCATGTCAACAAAGCAGTGCCGCCTCTACAGCCGCTGTGACGAGCTGGCGGGAAGCCCAGCCTTGTGTCAAGGAGCTGAAGTCTCGCAAACTCTGACCTTCTCAGGTTCGCGAGGTCGGTGTGGTCGGAAATCTGTTCGGCATGCTGCTCGAAAGCAGATGTAATGAGTCAAGGAGCCTCTTATTTTCCGAAGGCAGACAGCTTCTGCGGCTGCCAACCTCTGCTCCTGAGTTGATCCGAGGTCCTACCGGAAATCCTGCAAGGTGGCCGACCCACAGTTGCGGCCTGGATCGATTACAAGTCCCTTCCCCTTTTTTTGGGCTGCGTAGGTTGCGGTGCGGGCCTGCGAGCCCTGCGGCCTAGGTGCTGGAAAGTCACGAAGCGTCGCTCATTTCTTGGGGCCGGTGCAGACTCCTACAAGTGCTTTCACCAGGCCAGCGGAGCGGATTCGGGGCGGAGGGAGTCAGAACCTGAAGTGCGGAAACCGGTAACCAGGACCTGGTGGAGCAGTGTGACCAGAAGCTGATGCTGGGGGGTCTTGGCGTCACGGCATGTGGTGGCTGTGAATATGCATCTCGACTTTACCAGCACAGACTGCTGTGGGTGCAGGCAAGCACGTGTGCAGAACATCAATGAGTAGACTAGTGACCTCCAGAGCTCCTTACTTTCTTGCGCGGTGCTCCCTGCATCGAGGCTCCGGTAAAGGGCAAACAGATCTTTGCTAACAACGGCAACTGCGTGACTGCAGATGGCAACGACAACCTGCTTCTCAGCAGCGCTTGATCTCGTGAGTTTTGCCCAGGGGTTTCGCCTTGTCTTCGCAAGATCTTGCGAGTTGCGTCTCATCTGCGCAGCTGTGCCTTGAGGAAGGTCGCCGCCTGCAACAACGGAGACAACCAAAAGCACCTCGCCTGCGTGGATCTTTGAAGACGTGGAGACACCGGAGAACCGGCGAACCTTCCTTGGATCTCCTTCAAACGCACTTCTCTACAGTGACTCTACAGTGCTTGAAGCTCAAGTCTACGAGGTGGTATTTCGATGGTGAAGCGCTGAAGCCCGATCACAAGGACGGAACCTGGTGCCTGGGCACAGATCTGTTTCGGAGTTGTCAGAGCCTGACATTTCTCATTTCCAGGGTTGCAGTGGATCCAGGCCTGTCCTGTCCATGCTGTCTTGTTGCGCTTGCAGCTCGCCAGACACTGCGTGGGTCGTCGCATCGCATCACACTCGAAGTGGGAACGTGTGCCTGGGAAAAACAACCATTATGCGGACACAAGTTCGTGCACTTCTATCTTTTCGGGAAGGTATCGGGAAGTGCCAATCTCGCTCGTGTATGGCATGCTGTGTCGTGTCTTTCACTTTGTCTAAACTTCAAGGATTCCAGGGCCCAGTCGCAGTCGAGGCCAGCTGAATTCGTGCGCGTGCGTCCATACACCAGCTTGCCGAGGGTCCTGCGTCCTTTCTAGCAGCGAATGAAGCTTTTCACGCAGCAAACGAAAGCCTCGCGGCGGCCTCGTGATCGAAAGGCCGCAAAGGCAGGGCGATGCAGTCTGGCAGACAAGCGAAGCCTTAGCCGCAGGAGGCTTTCATGCTCAGGGTTGCACTCCTTACTCTCGCCTCCCTTTTGAGGTGCATGGACAAAAAATCAGACTCGGACATGTATCTTCACCCTTGCCACGGAGGGGACAACCAGAAGTGGCGACCCGTCCGTACAGCCTAAACAAATTCGTGGGTAATTTGCAAATATGTACAGACATATATAGACATATAAATAAATAAATAAATAAATATGTATGAATACATATGTGCAATGTTCTCGCGCACACAGAGTAACACATTCGGGCATCCACATACATACATACATACATACATACATACATACATGCATACATACCTACGCATGTATATTATGTTATGTTGTTTTGTTTTTATGTTATGTTATATTATGTTATGCTATTTTCTGTTTTATGTTATGGTATATTATGTTATATTTTGTTTTGTTTTGTTTTGTTTTGTTTCGTATGTATGTATGTATGTATGTATGTATGTATGTATGTATGTATGTAGGTATGTGGTGTGTATGTCTGTCTGTCTGTCTGTCTGTCTGTCTGTATGTATGTATGTAAGTATGTATGTATGTATGTATGTATGTATGTATGTATGCATGTAAGGCTCAGCAGCAGGGCGCCCCCAGTGCTGGGTCTGGTGTGTCTTTTGATGTTCTGTTGGGCTGGGGTTGCCTTTGTCTTCTGGCTCTGGGTTTCTGCCTGCCTCTTCTGCCATGGCATCCACTGCCTGGAAAGATCCGCTCACCAGAGTCTATTGGCAAGGAAAGGTCGCTGGCGATTGTCCTCCGGATCCCAAGGTCTGAGACCCAGCTCAGAACGCATCCTCTCTCAGCTTTGTTGGCAGGGTTAGCAATGTCATGCAGCCACCTAGCTCTCTTAGCAGGCTCACCAAGTTTGTCGGCTACTCAGTTGTAGCTTCTCATGGGTACCGCATGTCCTGCAGGCCCCTTCTGTCATTTCCGTTTCAGGTTCGTGGATGGCTACAAATGGTCCGGCAAGCCGCACATGCTCGTACCATATCCGGGAGGAGCTGACCAGAGCCTGCGCTTGGAGGCGGGCTGCAGTGCGCCCTCGGGCCCTTTGCTGCGACCACGCGGTCCAGCCCTTCGCCTGCGTCCGGCCCAGTGTTTGGCAGTCTGCTTCATGTCTACCCTTGCCGGCTCAGGCCCCCGTGACCTACTTCACCCTCCCCTGCACTAGCCGGAGCCTTTGGAGTATGCCCCTGCTGTGCTACTTCAAACGCCTGTGCTGCTCCAAGCCCTTCCTCTCAAGCTTGTGTGGAGCACCCTATTGGAGTTCTCTTCCACATGCCTGCTGACATGGCGAAGCGAGATCGCGAAGCAAGTGGCTCGGGCAACAGCGAGCTGGCCGTGTCCCAGGCGCCGGCACTGCCCCCACCTGCACAGCTACCTCGTTGTCAGGCTTCAACCACCAGGGCATAGCTGACTTGGAAATACGATATCACGGTCATTGCGGCCCCAGCCCCTTCCACACCTGCACCCTGGCTACTCCTCACGCAACATTCGGGCTCCCGTCTGTCGGTGGGCCCCTGCCACTCTGACCCAGGTGGCTGCCTCCTCTTCGTGGATCGACGTGTCAGGTGCCCGGATCCGCTGCTCAGTTGGTGCACTTCATGTCGGCTGCGCATTCTCCCGGTGCTAGGAGGTTGGTTCTCAGTCAGCTGTTTACTCACATGGCCCGGCGGTACTCCTTCCAGGCGATGTTCCGCAGGGCCCGACCTCATCGGGTTCCGCTCCTCCGCCTCGGTCACCAGGATGACAAAGTCAGCAACTCCCAGGCAGCCGGAGCTGTGCAAGGCCGTTGGCCCAAGGGCCCGCGGTCAAGGCTGCGTCCAAGGCCGTCAAGCCCAAGGACCCGCGGTCAAGGCAGCTACCTCAACAAGCCCCGACCTCTGGAGGAAGGACACCAACAAGGAGTCCCGCGAGGCGAAGCCTTACCTTGCACGCAAGTACGTGCCAAAAGCCAGGCCACGGGAGCGAGTGCCCGCGGCGCCGATCTCCCCTCTGTCGCTGGTCACTCTTAATGATGAGACTGGTCTCTGGGTCAAGACTACGGAAGGCGACATCGGCATCCGCACCGTTCCTTCATCCTAGGGTGGGCGACCTGGTCTCCGACATGGATGTCGTGGATATCAATCCGGACTCCTCAGAGTCCATCCAGCTTGCAATGTCCAGGCCTGAACTTACGATCACTAAGAAGGCCAAGCAGGCAAAGCCACCCAGATCGCTGCTACCTCGCGGGATGGGTAGGGCCTGATCGCCCGGTCGTCGCCTTACTCCTCGCGTTAGCCGATCCAGAAGTCGACCGCCGACAAGACCCACAGACGGCTTTCTGCTGAGCCTACGGCGTTCGCTGCTAGATCCACAGAAGACCGAGTGCCAAAACCTGGTGCTCTTATCACCAGCCTCCTAGGAGAAGGCGATGCTTCGCATGAGATTTTGCCTCTGCGTCAGGCGTAGACTCGGGCCAGTGCACACCAGTGCCAAAGAGCCCAACTGGCGCGGATTCCTGGCCCGAACGGTCCGAACTGTCCGAGCTGTCGTACATATGGTGCTCCGCTCTGCTTGCATCCCTCTGTCTATGTGAACCTTGCGCAGCTTCGTCAGTGCTTCGGTCGGCAGCTACATGTTGCTAAGTCTCGGGATCCGCTCCTTCATGTCCCGGCACCTTCGGCGCCTTCGCCACTCTCGCCCCCCAGGCTGGCGCTATGACGAATTGCTCTCCTGGGTGCTGCCCCTACAAATTGGAACTTTCATCTCTCGTCAGCCCATGAACCTGCAGGACCTACACCCTCCGCGCACTCCGCACCTAGCAGCCGCTCAGGTCCTACGCCTCGCATACTCATACACCAGGCTCATCCTTTGACAAGCCATGCTGTGCCCGTCCCAAGTCCGGGCAGGACTATGCTACTCAGCTACTTGTGCCAGCACGCCCATCCTTCACGCTTCTTATTTATCTCCTACGGAGCACGGGCTGTGCATCCACACTAGTTTCTGAGCCGAGGGTTGGAGGCACTGGCGGTCGCTATCCTCCTGGAGCCGTCCAATTTTCTGCCGAGGCAGGGCCCTTACGAGGGCAAGTCGCCTTGGACACACACACACACACTGATTGAAACCACAATGGGT